TCCTTTCCCCTTTTGTAAATAAACCCGTTATTGACCCTTCTGTGTGTCCCTGCAGTGTAACCGAATTGTGAGTGCTCGGGTGAGGCCCACAGACAGGTGGCCTGTCCACTCTGGGCTGCCTGGAACAACCCCTCCGCCAGGGAGTGAACCTCAGTATGAGCAGACCCCTCCTGTCTCCCCGCTGTCCCCTCAGCAGTGGGCTTCAGTGGAGCCGCCTGTCCTGCTCCCCGCTCTGTCTCTGGGGAGTCCTCTCACCCCCATACCTCTGGCCTGCACCCCAGTTCTTCTACACCAAGTTAAATAAAAATTTTAAAAAATGAAGCACGGGGCAGGAAACCAGCTTGGACTCCTGCGTGTGGCGGGGTATTCCTTGACCTCCTGGCGGTGGGCTGCTCGGGAGCTCTGGGGTGCCCCCTGAAGGGAGCACCGCTGCCCCGGAGGTCTCCAGCCCCCCCTTCCCTGGCCACTCTGCCCTTCCCCTCTCTGGTGGCAAAACAGTCTCCAGTCTCGGCTGACCGTGGCCACGCTCTTTCTGGACTCAGTCTTCAGACCTGAAAGGGGTGAGAAGGCCGTTTCTTTGGGAGTCACCCCTCCCGTTTGCCGGCTCAGGGCGCGCCTCAGGGCTCAGTCCCGGCTTTCTGGGTGCCCCGGACCCACCAGCATGGGGGTTCAGGTCGCGGGCGGGCGGGCAGCGAATGGCCCGCACGGGGCTGTGTGTTGTCACATTTAATTCACAACAAAACTCAGACCGCAGTGCCTCGCTGCTTGTCCGCATCTTGGGCCTAAGAGCCCACCTCCCGCTGGCCTGAGACCCCCCTGGAGGTCAGCGTGGGCCTCTGCAGCAGAGCATTTCATAAGCTCTTTAGAGGTGACAGCATCCAGGTCAGCCTCCCTGGGCGCCCTGCGGGCGAGGGGTTATAGTCTCAGCCCAGCAGGCTGCTGCCCTGAGTCCACTCCCTTCCCCGGAGCTGACCTCCTGTCTCCCCGCTGTTCCCCTCAGCATTGGGTTTCAGGGGATCCACCTGTTCTGCTCCCCACTCTGTCTCTGGGGCGTCCTCTCGCCCCCACACCGCTGGCCTGCGCCCCAGCTCTTGCTTGCATTAACAAATCTTAAAACCAAGAAAGTTGCAGCCTACCCCGGCTCCCTAAGTATCTAGCCGATAAGGGGGGGCCACAGACACCCAGCAGGAGGCGCGGAGCTAGGAGAAGGCGGCTGCTGCAGGGGGACCTCCCCCCACGAGGGAGAGCGCAGCGGGGGCCAGGAGGGCCTGCTCCCCCGGGAGGGGAGCGCCCTGTGCACAGACACTGCTCACTCGCTAAATGACTTCAAGGGCAAGCGAAGGTCTTGAAGTTAAAGAGACGACACTGTAATTTAATCTGAACCGTTTAAGTATTTACGGCTGGCCGCATCGTAAAACTTCATCCTTTTTAAAATCAAGACTTCTGGAAGTTTATTTAATTGGACACGTAACACTGCAATGAAAACTCGTAGACACAGATGAAGCCAGGAGAGCACATCTCCTTAAAGGAGAGAATGAGACAAAACAAGGGAGCGTAAACCTGAGACTCCGGCACCGGCACAACATTTTGCTGACATTGTGGAATAAGGTGCTAAGCCAGGAGAAGCTCATCCCTCATTGCAGTGCAAAAGAGGAGACCGGACTCCGATCCTGCAGGCGCCTG